TCCAGTTTCCAGGTGCGTCTCTATATATTTTTCTTTGGGTTCACCTTATTACTTAGCTTCTCTAGGATCGTGAACTACAGGTTCAATGTCCTTTGTTCATAGCTAGTATCCACTTATGAGTGAGTACATACTTTGGAAATCAGTATGGCAGAAATTTGGGAATCAACTCACCTCAGGATCCAGCAATACCACTCGGGCATACACCCAAAAGATGCTCAATCATACTACAAAAGCATTTGTTCAACTATGTTTATAGTAGCATTATTTGTAATAGCCAGAACCTGGAAACAACCTAGATGCCCCTCAACCAAAGAATGAATACAAAAATGTGGCTCCTTTACATATTAGAGTACTACTCAGTGGTAAAAAAAACATTGACATCCTGAATTTTGCATGCAAATGGATAGAATTAGAAAACACCTTCCTGAGTGATGTAATGTTGAAATAAGAGCGGCGGCGGGGCTGCGTCCCCAACACCCCGGCCGCTTGGCTAGCTCATGCCCGAAATAACAACACACAAACTGCATTCATTTAAGAACTGCTTGGCCCATGAACTCTAGCCCTTACAGGATAATTCTCGCACCTGGACTAGCCCATTTCTAATGATGTGTGTAAGCACCCCAAGGTGCGCTTACCGGGAAGATTCTAGCCTAAGTCCATCGTGGGTTGCAGCTGCCTGGGAGAGCAGAGCATGGCGGCTGTCCGGTCCCTCTGGAAGCAGGGCAGAGTCTGACCTCACTTCCTCTTCCGCCCAGCATCCTATTCTGTTTATTCCTCCCACCTATGTTCTAACCCATCAGGGCCAAGCAGTTTCTTTATTGCTCAGCCAATGAAATCAACAGATTGATATGACACTCCCACATCAAGGTAACCCAGACTCAAAAAGATTAACCTGCTTTCTTAAAGCACCCAAGACCACCTGCCCAGGGGTGGTTCCAGCCACAGTGTGCTAGGCCTTCCACATCAGTCATTAATCAAGAAAATACCCCTGAAGATTTGCCAAAAGGCAATATGATGCAGACATATTCTCAATTAAGGATTCTCTTTTCCTAAATGGTTCTAGTTTTTGTCCAGATGATGAAAACTAACCAGCACAGCCACAAATAGAAAAATCTCTGAGATGACATTGGAATTGGGAAGAATTAATACTAAATTCACTTAACAGAATTTCTGATGAAGGTAGAGTAGGATGAGCAGACTACATGGGAGATGGTTTAATGAATGAATGAATGAATGAATGAATGAAAATGAAGAATAGATCAGATATAGAGCTAGTCAGATATAAGGATGAGATTCTCTGTAAACAAGTTCGCAGTATTCTTAGTACAATTGGACTGTGTAGGAATGAACACAGAAACCCAAAATAAGGACCAAGTAGTGAAAAGCTTAAGGAAACCTAAAAGTTTGGTGAAAAAGAAAGGTGGGCACAGTAGCATATGCCTGTAATCCCAGCACTTAGGAGATGAAGGCAAAAATATCAGGAACTTCAGAACCAGCCTTGGCTCCATGATCCTGTTTCAAAAGAAAAGGTTTGGTAATGGAAAGAATCTTTAGTCATAGGGGACTTGGAGAAAAATGTGGCACAAAAATGAAATGTTGATGGTTTGAAAAGGGACCTGATTAACAACATGACATTTCAATAGGGGAACTTTCTACAGTGAGGCAGGAGGATGCCTGGACAAAACTGTGGGCCATCACAGCTGTAAGATACTCTTGCTCAGCCCATCAAGGTGCAACACGGAGACTGGAGTCATGGAAGTAAGGGGTGACATACACTCAGACAGTTCACAGCTAGAACCTGGGCATTTTCAGAGTGCAGGGAGGAAGTTTGGGTTTGTGGTGGTAAAGCATTTTGGAACTTGTTTTTTAAAGACAAGTGCTCTAGCCTAATCAATGATACCTTCTTCTTCATCCCTCTTCCCTCACACATGCCATGAGTCTTTGTGGACCAAAAGTCGAGATGTAAGACATTACTGCACTTTTAAAAAGCACTTATATTTTGCATTTCAAGTATTATGCTACGATTCCACATGCATGTCACATGTAGAAGATGGAGGGGGGAGGACCTTGGACTTTCCACAGGGCAGGGAACCCTGACTGCTCTTTGGATTGGAGAGGGAGGGGGAGAGGGGTGGGGGGAGGGGGAGAAGAATGGGGGGAGGGGGAGAAGAGTGGTCGGAGGGGGAGGGAAATGGGAGGCTGGGAGGAGGCAGAAACTTTTTTTTGTCCTATTCTCAATAAAAAAAAAAGAAACTACTTTTCTATTTGAAATCACATTGAAGGATTATGCTATGCTTCCTTGGCGCTAAATAGAAAAGGGTGTTCTTTTAGCTCATATTAACTCCCATTGGGATAATATGGGCTAGGGGCTGGTTGTTCCACAAACAGAATTTATACCAACAATGTTCTAATCTGACTTTCATTGTTGAAAATTAGTTCAATTTTAGACTTTAGAATATGGCTTGCTAAATACAAGAAGACTGCTAGAAAAAACAATTGAATGAACTCACTCTCTTTATGTACTCAATTTAGAGCTGTCCAGACTACTGGATGTGGTTTGAATCAGAAAGACCCCATAAATATTCCTAAGAACACCTAGTTGGATCAACTTAGTGAACGTGTGATTGCCCGTGAAATTCAGAGTTAAGAAAGCAAATTTAGAATCAAAGGAGATGGTTATTAATTATGCTTTTTGTTTTTGAAGTCCATTTCCAGTGGTTATTCACTGGAGGACTGCGGGAGGGAAATGGATCTTGGCAGATGGTCAGCAATTTGAGGTTAATGTAATATAGCTCCTATGTAGAAATTGAGAAGATTTTTAGTTTCAGGAAAGTGATCAGTTTTGTAGGGCTTCCTCATTTGCAGTTTGCTACTATTTGAAGAAGATTTTGAAGGAGAATGTATGTTAAAAAATTTCTGAATACTTGGAATGCCAGTGATATTGACATAAAGTTACTGAAATATAAATAATAAGTATGGCCTTAGGTTAATAACGTAGTATTGTTAGCTCTTTAGTTGTGACAAGCATATTGTAAGATATTGACAATGGGAAGAACCAAGTAGGAACACATTGATTGAACTTAGTGCTATCTGCACAATGTTTTAAAATGCAAATCTCAAATTATTCTGAAATAAAAAATAATGTGTATAGGAATGGAGATGACTCAGAGGTTAGGAGCGCTTGTTACTATAGAGAACCCAGGTTCAAATCCCAACACCCACACGGCACTTCACAACACTTAATAACTCCAGTTCAAGGAACCAGGCATCCTCTTCTGGCCTTTGCAAGCACTAGTCACAAATATGGCGGACAGACAAACATGAGAGCAAGGCACTCATACACCTAAGTAAAATAACCTTACAAAATTAAAATATATATGTATGTACTGTAACGTTCCATACCTTTAACCACAACAGTCTAGAAGTTGCGACAAAACTGCTCATTTTATAGTCAGTTTTCCATAGGAATCTCCTGACTTTGTATCAGAAAATAAAAGGCCCTTGTGAACTGCTGCATCTGTCAATTGCCAACATATGCTTGACCTTCACATGGACTGCCTTACTGGGACCTTTACACAAATTACATCTCTAGAGTTACCCCCAGCGAAATACAAATGGACTAGTGTTAAACATCATTATTCACTTCCAAGACGCAAAAAGTTCTAGAAGGATTGCTCAGAAAAGAAAAAGAAAAGAAATATTCACTACCCATTCCTTAGTTTTGAAATTTATACTTCAATTTGATATCTGAAAAAGCTACTTGGTTTAAATATAATGTCGGCACCGCCATTCTCTAGTGTTGAGAAAACTGCAAAAATATTTCTCTTTATTGATTGCTATCTCCGAAAGGAAATTTGGACACTATCAGAAAACGCTGACTATGGAGGTTTTTCGCTTCCATCTTCCATCATGGTAGGAAGGGGGCAAGTGGATGATCTAAGAAGCCACCCCCAGGCTCCTTGCCACATTTCTGTCTAACTGGCTTTACCACGAAAGATTTGCCATCTCTGTAAATCTGTAGGGGGAAGGACACAGCTCCCGAAGAAATCGTTCTGGCTCTGCTGAGTTAGCTCAAGGATTTCAATGATAGACTCTTTACCTAGTACATGCCAAAAACCTGGACTCAGTCTTCAGCAGGGGGGAAAATATTGTGCACACAAAAACGTTCGGCAGATGACACGTGTGCCCGAAGATGGTGTTTCAAAAGTTCTTTTGTTGTAACGTGTGTCAAATGTCTGTTACCTCCGCACGGGGGAGGCTGAACTGGGGGCTAGCCAAAGATACATAGCAAGACCCTGATACCAAAAGAGATCAAACAAAATCGAAAAATCAAATTCCCTTTTCCATAATTATCTACTTTGGAGGAAATGCTATCAATTTTGAATTAGAATTCAAAATCAACACCCTGACGTCATACAGCTCCCTAAATCCGGGCAACTTTAGGCAATTAATTTCTCGTTTTGGAGTCATCTCAGTTTCTCATCTCTAAAATGAATGGATTGGATCAAGCAATCTCTCAGCTCTCCTACAATTTCAACACTGAGGCGGGGTTAGACGGAAAACTACTGGAAGTACTTTTTTTTTTATTTGTTTGTTTTTTTGCCTTTTTTTTTTAGGGTAGAGGAAAAGCTGTTTCCGCATTTATGTTTCTAAAGTCAGAAATATGAGTGCAGTAGGAATGAGTGAAGTAGTGGGGCCCAACCCGGGTCAATTTAGGTAGTTTTTGCATTTACTGGGGAAGCAGCGGGGCGGTTGCTAGGCAACTGCCTCTCTCGTGTGCACGGAGGCCCCCAGACAAGCTGTCTAAGTCACTTCCTGTTTTTGTTTTGTTTTGTTTTGTTTTAAGGAGTGGTGGCGTTCCAAAATTAATGAAAGCTGTTGTCTTTAAAAGAGCACATATTGTTTTTCAGCCAATTCTGCGCAAACTCTCTGGATGAGGCCGGCTCACGGCGGCTTCTCTTTCCCCTGTTTTCAGGCGCGCTGTGGACACCTTTCAGGCCAGGCCCTGCCGCGTTGCCAGGCAGAGCCCGAATCCTCCTGCTCGTTGCTCCTGGACCCCGCCCTCCCTACTCCGGGCCCTGGGCCCTGGACCCCGGGCACTGAAGCGTTGTCCGGGCCACCATGGGCTCGGAGATGGAGCCTCTGCTCCGGGCCTGGAGCTATTTTAGGCGCAGGAAGTTCCAGCTCTGCGCCGATCTATGCACGCAGATGCTGGAGAAATCCCCTTATGACCAGGTACCTGCTGACCCTAGGCAGTCGGTGAATTCTCTTGCTATGGCCATGGGCCCTGGGGGATCCCTGTGTCCCCTAGGGTAGCCCTGGGAGGAGGGCCCTAAGCGAAGTTACCTGTGTGGTCCGCAGAGGCACCCAAAGAAGACTCTTTGGAGTCCTGGATGGCGGGTCCCTGGCCTTTACATATCCGGGGATCCTGAGTTCTGTGCCTTGACAGCTCCTGCTGTAAAGCACAGCACCCCCTTTCCAGAATTAATTACATTTAAAGGGACTCTGTTAAGTTTGTGAGGAGCTTTGATAATTCATTGGTCATTCACTGGTCAGACCCTTGACTTCGTTGATTTCTAAAAAGGAAAGACGTATGTGAACAAAGATCTGAGACGCTGCCCCCTTTAAACATAGCTGTCTTTTGGTTCAGATGAAGCATGCGATCTTCTTGCCTCGATGTCCAAGTGTCAAGGAGCTTTTGTTTCTGAGTCATGAGTTTGACTTGAGACAAGATACAGGATATATTTATTTCTAAAGAAACTACCTGGGCAGGAGAAACAATACTTGTAGGAGGGAAAGATAGAATCCCTCTAAGAGAAAAGTGTTGGTTAAAGGGAAGTTTAACAGTCCAGTGTGAGAGTGCACTTGTGTACTCCTCGTTCTTGGGAGGTAGAGGCAAGAGGATCAGAAGTTCAAAGTAATCCTTCCCTAAGTAGAGAGTTCAAGGCTGGCCTGGCAGGTAAGAACCTGCCTTTAGAAAGAAAGTAACAGTGTAGTAATGTATGTACTAAACGGACAGGGTACTAATAAACGGAGAGGTACAACGCTCCTGGAAGAGGAAGAAAACTGAGAGGTTAGTAGTAGAATCGTGGCAGTTTGGCAGTGCTTCAAGTACATGCAGAGTGCACCTATACAGTTCTGACTCCCCTGCTTTTCCTCTCGTGGCATTGCCTTGGCATTGCTAGGGAAAGATGGGGAGTTAGAAAAGCAGGGATCCGAGTGTAAAGGCTGTTGCTGGGCTCTGCTACTCTCTGAGCAAATGGATGGAAGTAACCTAGTGATTGCATCTGGCCTGCCCAACAGTGGTGATGCTAAGAGAGCTTCTGGTCTTGGTACTCATGCTCAGTAAAGGACTGTGTATCTGTAAATAAGTCTTTTTCCAAGAGTGTCTCCTGGCCTGTTAGTCCTACAAATGCTGCAAAAGACATTTCCGACAAAAGTTTGGAAACAATAAGATAATATCAGATCTTGTTACCTTTGTTACGAGGGAAGTTTGTTAAGAAGTTTTGATGTATTAGACATTGTTCTGGGCACAAAGAGTCTCAAGAACTTTCCGTGTTGTTTCCATTGAGTTGGGGTGGTTTCCACAAACAGGATTCCCAAGAGCTGCTGGCTGGAAGTTTCCTCATTAATGCCAGTGAAAGATAGACACGCCCTTCTTAGAGATTTCAGATGTGCCCAAAAGGCCCCGAATAGTTCAGAAGAAAATAAAGCTGATTTTTGCCAAATTTTATTTACTTAGAAATTTACTTATTGAGAAACTTACTTGAGTACTGAATTTTTTTTTTTGTCCTTAGGGCAAATGTACTTCTTATCATTTGGAGTAGATATTGTTAGCAAAAGTGTTCTTATTAATGGGTAAGGCCCTATGAGCTAGAGATCATAGTGACATCCAGTACTACATCTGTGAGCTGAAATTTTAATTGTGCTAGGTTTTGTGTCAGGACTCTTTGTGTTCATTTCAGTGACCATCTATAGACTACTTATGATTTCCCAAGCGTAAGTTCTATAAAGTAAATAATTTTCTAATACCTAAAATAACCTTGTAAAGTAGGTAACAAAAACAACAGATTTGGTTTTGAGAATTTTATTGTGCTATCTCATTTAATCCTCAGCTACTTTAGGGCTTGGAATTATTTTTCCCCATCTCATGATCCAGGACACAGAAAGCTAGCAAAGCAAGCCTGTTAGGTTGCCACTAAACTTTTCAAAACTACATCTGAACTTTTCCCAGTATATTTTTTCTCACATGCCTTCTCTCTACTCCCAAGATTTTAGCTGGTGTAGGATTTTGACACATCTATGTGGTTGGATTAAAAGCTCTGATTAGTCTTGAGGTAAAAAGTTCTGATTCTGATTTAGCCAAATAATAAAACTTATTTGTCCGGAAGGGAAAGGGGAGGACAAATTTCCTCCATTGTTTGACGAAGATACTGTTTGGGAAAACCAACAGCCACAGAAGTGGTGCTTTTATTATGGTCAAGAAAGATTTTTTTTTCCAGGAAAAAAGAGAAAACAAAGTAAGTGCTTTGTTTACAGTCCCATATTTTTAGCTAAAGAAGATAAATGGGTCTTAGTCTGGTCTCTTGTATTGATCTCATTATGTCTTACCCCCTGTCTGAGATTGTTTTGTGAACGTGTGGTTTCATGATGATTTCATGATGATGATGATGATGGTGTTGATGATAAAGAAAACAGACATGGGATCCCACTGGGAATGCTGCTGTAGGCGCCGCTGGGTGATTAGCATGGCTAAGATCATCGCGGAGAGAGATCTTATTAGGTTCTAGCTGATTACATCAGTCTATTTTTTGTGGATTTGTGATAAGACTTCATAATGTGATACATAGTTTATACCACAGAGGCATTGTCCTTTGTAATTTGTTGATATGAGCAAGAGTTATACTCAGTTTGGGTAAATATGTCTTAGTTAGGGATTCCATTGCTGTGATAGAGCACTGTGACCAAAAGCAACCTGGGGAGGGGAGGGGTCTGTTTGGCTCACCTGGGCAGGAACTCCAGGCAGGAACTGAAGCAGAGAGCATGGAGATCGCTGTTTACTGGATTGCTCGTCCTCATGGCTTTTCCAGCCTACTTTCTTAGATTCCCTAGAGTTAGTAGTGTTCACAGTGATCTGGGTCAATCATTAATTATCAGTCATTAATTCTCACCACCCCCCCAAAGGAAAAAAATGACCCAGAGGTTTGCCCACAAGCCACACACACTCTCTCATGGTTCTCTCTTCTTAAATGATGCTAGCTTGTGTCAACCTGACAAAACACTAGCATTTCTTGAACTTACTCCTTTCAGAATCCTTTCGGTTTATTTTAATTGCCATTCCTGGGCTATCAAACTGATTTTGGTGTGAATGAGTTTCTTTGGAGTAGTTCCCAGACACGTAGTGGGACAGAGAAATTCAAATGCTTCTCTTCTATGCCAATGGGTTCATTTGGGCCCCTGCTTTTCTCTCTCCTCAAATACAGGTAAGAACTTTTGTTTTCAAAAGTAATTTTTTTCACCTTGGATTTCTTTATTTTTATTCCATATAGATGAAGGAGCTTTGGTAAAGTGATTTGATATTTCTTACTTTGTAAGCTGGGCCAGGGAGCATCAAAATATAACATATGTCTTCATATGTGGACCTATTGGATGAAGCCTGTCTCTATTTCATCTGACTCTTTTTTTCTTCTCACAGGACTAGGAATTGAGCCTAGAACCTTGTGCATGCCAGGCAAATGCTCCACCACTGAGTTGCTTCCTCTCATCTGCTTTCATTTCACATGGGATACCTGTGAAATAGTACCATCAAGAATCCTTAGTGCCTTGCATTTTTAGTAGGACATCAGATTTTATTTATATTTAATTCTAGCCAAAGTTAGGATAAGTCAGGGCAGTTGGGCTTCCCACAGAAGCATCCAGACAAGGAACAACATGTTTCTTGTTTTATTTGGCTACGGAAGGGCCAAGAGTGGGGTGAATATAAGGTATGTGGTTTTGGTAATGGAGAAGCATTCTTGGAGAGCATGGCTTGTGAATTCTTTTCCCCAGAAACTGTATGATTAACAGTGAGAGACAGAAGCCAGGATCCCTAGGCTTGGAGGATATGAAAGTTGGGTCTCCTAAGAGTAAAGCCAGAGAGATAGTGGGTTCATTTATCATAGTTTTCTCCCATTAGAACAAAAACTGACCAATTACAGTGAGGAGCCCTGTCTTTTGTCTTAATTGTGACTAAAAATGTGGCAAAAAGTGATTAGATGTGAAAGGAGGAGACACAAAGCCACCTGGCAGAGCAGTGTGACCTAGAGGGAGGGCTGGCTTCCCAGGCTCCTGTTGATCGTCCTGATTAGTGGCCTAATCTGATTACTGTTCTTTGCGTTCCATAGGTCAGATTAATGGCCTTCAAGACAGTGCTGAATGTGGAGGCCCTCTGTAACAACACGTTCCGTACAGCATGGAACTCGGCTAGGCAGTGGGGTTTAAAAGAAGACACTCTGTTCTTGAACGGGGTGGCTTTCTGAAGGCGGGAATATTTGGTGTGTTCACTTTCTCCTCTCCTGCCCTGAGTCTCCCCTTACACAGACAGATGTTACAAAGAGGAAGGCAAATGATTGGAAGATGAAAGATAGGAAACAAGTTGTCTTCTGTGAGTGAGTAGTGCAATGATTTGATGGTACAGCCCTCACTCCCACCCCCGCCCCAGTTTGTCTTTCTGTCCAATTACCTAATTTGTTTCCTCTTTGGGGCCATGGAGGCTTCATCCTTTGGTTTTATCTGTACATGCCAGATACTTGGTTGCCTGGGTTTCTGTCCTCCCGGATTATACAGATTGCATTGCCACACGGCTGCTTGGTCGCTTGACCTCCTAGCCTTTGAAACCCACCCATCTTTGTTGCCTTACAGGCTTCTCCTTGCTGCTATGACTAAATTCTGAATGACAGTGCTGCAGTTTTAGATCTGGGCAGGCTCATTAGACAGAGTAAGTGTTGGTGATAATTAGGAAGCTGTGTTCAGAAATATCTGGAGATTCAGTTCCCTGAAGGAATAACAACAGCATAAGAGAAACATCCCTCAGGAGGAAGGAAAGAGACTGTGCTAGGTACTTTCCTAGTTGCTGTGACCAAAATACCTGACAAGAAGCCATTTAAAGGAGGAAGTGTTTTTCTTGGTTTACAGTCTTAGGAGATACAGTCCACTGCAGTGGGGCGCGCATGGTGGCGGGAGCAGGAGGCTACGAA